GGTAGCCCAAGACCAGACAGACAGTATCGAAGCACAGTTTGTTTACACTTTACATAGGAAATGCCAGTCCACCTGGACAAAAGGCACACACCCTCTGGGTTGAGAGGGAAATCTCTCCATCCGCGTTTCCAAAGGACCAAGGCGAAAGGCGGCATAGACCAGTTTCACCACGTTGATGATCCAGTCCTTGGCACTGAAGTGTCCTTTCATGATGTTCTTTTCAGGATGATCACGTCAGTGATCCACTTTAATCCACATTAATCCACTTTTGAGCATACCCTGCCCAGGACAGGTAAATCTAAGAGACAATAACTGGATTAATGGTTGCTTGCGGGTATGGCAGGGGAAGATGGGGGCAGGGGGCAGTAGGGACCTAATAACAGTGAGTACAAGGAAGAAGAAAATGTTCTAAAGTCGGTTGTGGTAATGATTGTACAACTCTGCCTGATATGACTGAACTATTGAATTAATATGATCTGTGGATTATGTACCAATAAAACTGTTTTAAAAAAAAAGTTACAGTCTTGGCAACCCACAGGGGCAGTTCCACCCTGTCCCTGTAGAGCTGCTGTGGGCAGAACTGACTTGATGGCAGTGCGTTGGAGAGGGGTTTTGTTTGGTTTTTGAGACAGTTAAGTTTGTTACTAATTGTATTCCGTTTTAGGGCATTTTCCCCATCTGAGTTAAGTGCGTTATATTTTTAGTATGGAAGACGTTAGTGCGGTTCTAAATATCTACGTCACGTGAAACTTGATGCTTACAGAATCATCACTTTCCCCCATCTCTAGCACCCGTGCGCGCTCTCCTGGTAACTGCTCACATGCATTTCTGGTTTTCCTGCCTCTGTTGCCTCTTTCACAGAAATAAGCAGGCGGATGTAGAATTTTTGTTTCCTTATCGAAGAGCACCTTATTTATACTCTATTCTGGAAATAGTTTTATGTCAATTTGAAGAGCTTCAATCACTTTTACAACTGAATAGTACTCCAGTATGTGTTCCCCGCACCATAGTTTCTTTTTTAATCTCTCTCATGTTGGGCATGTAAGTGTCTCCAATATTGCGCAATTACGTACAGTGATACCTTGAATATGTGTATTTTTATATTGTTGGAGGCATATGTTTAGAGTCGGTTCCTAGAAGTGGGACTGCATATGCATTTTTGTTAGATATTGCCAAATTCTCACTCCTCATTATTTTTCTTAGAAATCCACTGGTCTTTATTTTTTCCTTCTCTCTTTTTTTAAAAATTAAATAATCATTTTATTAGGGGCTACTACAACTCATACAACTCATCACAATCCATACATACGTCATTTGTGTCCAGCACATTCTTTCAGAGGTCTCATGTATTTATTAGTCAGTTAATCTCTTTTTTTTCAAAGCTATGTATTTAAATAGTTTTACAAAACAACCTGATCACTTTAAAAGTACTCTCCATGACACTTAATACGTTTGTCAAATCTGCAATTCCATTCTTGGAAACATTTTTCAAACTCACCTGTGGGGATGGCTGAGCTGACGGCACCTCCCTCGTTTTTCCTTCACCCCTCCTGTGTCTTCAAGTCCCTGGGCTTTCATG